AATGGAGTCATCAATTTAAACCACCAGTTCTGTATTTACATGAACCTGAGGTGCGTTCTTTCTTCTACAATATGGAACTGCTGGAAGATGGAGGAATCATGTAACGACCCTAAAAATGAACTAGTGAAACTAGAGCCTCACATGTGAGTTTGGAGTTGAGAACTGGATGAAATGATGAGAAATGACCGTGACGTCCGGAAACTAGTCAGTTGAACTAGTGAGTTGTAAGGGTCAACTTTAAATAGTCATATCTTTTAGCTCAAAATGAATTAGATTGACCTTTACCTATCCAATTAAAGGTCTTTGAGTCCTCTTTCCAACGCCACCGAGTTTGCCCAATTCCGACCTTGGAGTAAAAAGTTATGCCCGAAATATTGAAGCACTGTCAGGCTGAAAAAAAAGGGCGAACTAAGACGGGAAGGGGTAGAATTTTTAAGTTAAGACTTTATGGGTCCTTAGTCCTTTTCCAAAATTGACCCTATGTTATTTTATTCTTTTCCTAGCAACTATAAGACCTTTTTATGACTTAATTCCTTTCATTTAAGCCACTCCTCTTAGAATTAAAAAGAAACCCATCTCCTTTCATATATTTCTCTCTAACTCAAGGAAGAAGAGGAGTTGGAGCTAGGATTGAAGATTTCGAGTGCTTCTTCTTCAATTTTCGTGGGTTTTCAACTTAGAGGTATGGGGATCCTTATCCTTGATTATTCTTTCTTTCAAGGAACCCAATCAAAAGGTTTTTAAGGTTTTTCAAATACACACAAAAACCTATTTCGATTCTAGCATGGGTTCTTGCATAAAAAGGTTTTAAATGATGATTTATATGGTTATTAATGATTATTAATGGTTTTTAGAGAGAAATTCCCATGAACCCATGTCTTCTCAAATTCTCTAAATTTGGCCTAAAGTGGGTGTATTGATTTTGTGTAATTGATGGACGATTATTGTGTAGATTGTTGTGGACTGTTCATATATGTATTTATCTATGTGGAATTGTTAAGAATTGTTAGTGAATTGAAGGATGTGGGATGTTAGCCTTGAATGAACAAAATTGTGAATTGGTCTTCATGTTGATTATTGGCTTATGCTTAGCTTAGCTTGTATAGTTGAATGTTGTTATTATCATTGTTATTGTATTGTTAATTGTTGGAATATGAGGATGATGAATATAGCCATGGAAAGAGGGTAAGTTGATCAAACTTGATAAATATTGTATAATTGGCATGGAATTGAGTATTGTGGCTTATGGCCTTTGAAAAGGGTGGTAAGATGGCTTGATCTCTTAGTATTAATATAATTGTTATTGGTTAGTTTGATCCACCTATGGTGGAGGTGGTTATTTATTGTATTATTGTGAATTGAGGCCATGAAGGGCATTATGTGAATGTTATTATATTGTTGTATTATTTTACACATATGAGGCTATATGTAAAGTCCTATATGAAGCTATATGTAAAATTTTATGTGAAGCTATATGTGAAGGTATGATGTGAATGAGTTTTATGTGAAGCTATATGTGAAGGTATGATGTGAATGAGTTTTATGTGAAGCTATATGTGAAGGTATGATGTGAGTGAGTTTTATGTGAAGCTATATGTGAAGGTATGATGTGAATGAGTTTTATATCAAGTTATATGTGAAGGTATGATGTGAATGAGTTTTATGTGATCTTGTGATGATCCTATGTAAAGTGGATAGCATTGTGAGTTAAAGTATGATTTCTCATGATGTATATATGAAATGATGTTGGATTATGAAGTATCCTTAAATGAAAACGTTGTGACTTGGTTGGTAGACTAAAGTGTCCCTCCTTGTTACTTAAAGTCTTGAATGCATAAATGTGTGAAGTGGGCAAAACTAAGAAATGGTGCCCTTTCTATAAATGCTAAAAAGAGGAATTCTAGGCCAAGATTTGAATCGGCAAAACTAAGAAATGGTGCCCTTTCATAAGTCTAGCTTTCCTAAGTAAATGTAAAACCATGAAATCGGTAGACCTAATGGTGGTAGCCCTACTCATGTGTGAAATGATGAACCTTGGACCGGTAGGCTTAAGGCACCCTTAATGAAAAATCGGTAGGCCTAAGGCACCCTTCCAGGGGGATTTAATGAGCTATCCTTAATGAACCTTGATCGGTAGATCCTTGTGGTGCCCTTCTTGGTAGATGTGCTATGGGTCGGTAGACCTAATGATGGTGCCCTCTCTAGCACATACATGTGAATGAAATTACTTCATGGGAACTAAGGCTAAACACCGAGTGGATATGGTTAAGATGATAGCTCTCCCGAGTATGAGGCAAGAGTACAATGAATATCTTTGGATATCCCCTAAACCATGTGCCTACATGGGATGTGTCCTAGTTCTACCCTTGGCAAGTAGAACACCTTCCACGGTGTAGGGTTTTATGACACCGGATTCCATGTCTAGCTCGCATGGTCTATGTCGGTTAATGCCTATTCCCATCATGTGAGATGTGCACTCTAGTTATTGGATAGGTTCTACAACGTGTAGGTAGTAGTATGAGATGCTATCTACACATGGCACGAGTAGGCTTTGAAGATACTAAAGTGAGTTCCCTAAGTCTAACGACTATTATGTGAAAGTCCCCTTATGTGCTTGAATGTCTCCAAAATGATTTCTTAAAGAATGTTGGTCTATTGATGTTATGTTGTAAAGGAAATGTCCTTATCTAAGGTAATCTTGGGGAACACTTAAGTGTGCTTGAAGAGGTTGTATGGGCGGTCACTTCTTGTCTCACTCAAGTGTGTCTTAAGAATATATTAGGTAGAGGTCCTATGGTAATGAAATGACATGTGTTCTTTTAAAGTTAAGCATGGGTTGTATATGGACATATGTTGAGTATATGTATGGTTGGCTATGGTCTTATATATTAATGTTGACTTGTATTATGTCTCTTATACTTATAAAGGAAAGGTTTTATCAAATGATATGAAAGCATTTACTTCCTTGAAAATGTCCTTTTTGGCATGTTTTTGCATGGTCTCCATACTTAGTACTTAATTGTGCTAACCCCTTTCTTTCCCTTTTTGGACTAAAGTGTAGGGATTTGGAGATGATGACATGCCATGGCTATTTGATAGGTTTCTAAGTGTTGAAGATGAAGACTTGGTGAGTCCTCATATATTCGAGGACAATACCCTATATGTTCTTTTATGTCTTTTTAGTATTGTTTAAATTGTGTATGGGATTGGTCCCGAATTTTGTACTCTAAAGTATTAGATGGTTTTGAGACATCATGTATAAAGTCTAGAAAGTCTTCCGCTTGCTATATATATATTTTTTATGAAATGTTTTCTTGGTAAAGAAAGTTTTAAATTCATTATGGTTTTTAGTTTTATGCGATGAATGAATGCTAAGAGGCTTGTATTAGACCTCCGAGAGGTCGAGTACGCCGGTTACGACTAGGGGGTGCTCTCGGGTCGTGACAAATCACAACCACTATCAAGGACATTGAAATATGCTTGGATAAGGAAACTCTGGGGATCATTCTTGGGGTGCCTGTAAAAGGAGTTAGAACCATTAAAGGCTATAAACCATCTGGGGAATTCATCAAGCTTGCCACCAAGCGAGGAGAAATTAAGCGTGCAGGGCTGCCCAAGAAGCTTCTTAAAGGGGAATATCAGTTGGTGTTCGAGTTCGTTAACAAAGTGCTGGTGCCTAGGACTGAAAAACGTACAATGGCATCTGCTGCTGACTTATTTCTTATGGAGAAGCTGGTTGAACTTGAAGAAATCAATCTTCTTTCCATCATGTTGGAGCACATGCACAGAGTTATGACCTAGAAACAGGCTAGGCATGTCATTCCATATGGGTACTAGCTAAACCCCGTCTTCAAACATTTTGAGGTACCATTAGGAAAGGGGGTACCAAGTACCACCAAACAAATGTTCACTAAGTCCACTCTACTGGAATGTGACTGCATGGAGGGACCAGCTAAGGGTAGGTCTCGGGTAGCAGCGGTTCTGGAATACTACATTCCAAAGCTCCATTCTTGATATTTCCCTCAATGCACGCATTAACCTCACATTATTTATCTCAGTTTTTATCGACCTAGTTAATTCTAATATATCTATGAAATTACAAAAAGCACTTAATTGCCACCCAAAATCCAGAGGTTTGTACCTTAGGATCAGTAAGGTAATATCTAGTCATCTTTGCTTGTACTTATTCCTATCGAGATTTTTTTATTTTTAATAAATGCCCGCTGGTTTGGCAAGCTAGTTGCAATTATCAAAACTTAGAATAAGATGAATTATTAGTCAATAGTCAACGGTATGATAATGAATGATGGGAATATGAACTTGCAAAGAGAAAAAGTCAATAGTGGATTCTTTTGTAACATCTATGAACATAATACAGTTGACTTCTCAAGTTCTTTTTTCGTCCTCGCTGGCTTTGAAAAATGCAACGATGCTCCTCATTTTAATTAGCACGTAGCTGTGTCAATGTACTAATTAAACTTTTTTTTTAATAACAATTAGCCAAATTGTTGTCCCAGACAACTTACAATATTGAAGAGATCAAGAAAAATGAATGCCACTTCGTTGTTGCATGCATTGCCAACTTGTTACTACTCCTCTATCCCTAATTACTTGTCCATTTTTTATGCGATACACTTATTAAGAAAACAATAATTGACATAGTGAGTTTACCATTTTATCCTTATTAATTATGAAGGAGATGAATTAAAAATTTAAGATTTTCAAAAAGTTCTATATTTTTCAAAGTAATAAATTGAGGATATAATAGAGAGAAAAAAGTTTGTCCTTTCTTGATTTGTAATTGTCAAAATGGACAAGTAATTAGGGACAACTAAAAAAGAAAAAGTGGACAAGTAATTAGGGATAGAGGGAGTACTAATTAAGTAGGGTATCTATATATACCAATTAGCTATAGTTTGGTCATTGAACTTGCTAGATCTCTAATATATTCATGTCCAGTTGTTGATAAGTGCATCAACAATTGAAAGTTACGAGAAAAAATGGGAAGGGAGAAACGGACATGTCAAGGTAAACAACACTTCAGCCATCCCCACTTCTTGAAACTAATTGTCAATCCATCTGAAACACTCACTTGCAATGCTTGTGAGCAACCAAATATTACTACTACTACTTTCTATGGCTGCAATACCTGCCAATATTACATCCATGAAAACTGCCTCAACGCTCCGCGTTTCCTTGATCATTCTTCTCATCCTTCTCACTACTTGACCCTTCTCCCAATTCCGACTTACTCGAATCGTTCTTACACTTGCAAGGCTTGTGCCTCTGCTGGAAATGGTTTTAGTTTTAGCTGTGCACGTTGCGAATTTGATGTCCACATGCACTGTGCTCTTTTGCCCCAAACTGTCTTCCTGTCCCAGCACCATCATCATGATCTTGAGCTCATATTTGAATCCCCTTTTTATGATGATGCCGATGATGGAAGCAACGTTTTTGTCTGTGATCTCTGTCGCGACAATGTAGATCTTAATAACTGGTTGTATTATTGTGCTGATTGTGATTTTGGTACACATCTCGGATGTGCCATTTCCAAATCTGTCAGCCAACAAGAACGTCCGAAACTGTTGGGCAACAAACCAAGAGAAAATCCAGTAGTAATCAGGAAAACAGAGGAGGTACCCACCAAGAACGAAAAAGAAATCAATCAAGAAGAAGAGGCGGAGGAAGAAGAAGCAGAAGCGGAAGACGAAGAAGAGGCGGAAGAAGAAGCAGAAGAAGAGGAAGCAGAAGCGGAAGACGAAGAGGAAGAGAAGGAGGAGGAGGAACTCAATTATCCAAGATCAATTCTTATTGACAAACATCAACATGAGTTGGAGCTCTGCTTTGGTTCTCCTTACGAAGATAAGGATACCCTATTTGCTTGTGATATCTGCAATATCATAATGGACTCGGACGAATCCTTGTACTATTGTGCTGATTGTGATTTCGGGTCGCACTTGCACTGTGCATCTCCTGATGCTGATGTTCTTCCGTCATCACATCAACGTCGAAATCCAAATCCAAATCCAAAATATCAAATTCCAAATGTAAATTCATCAGTGGAGATGATAAATTCAGTTAGTGATGCTCATGAGCGGCTTATAGCAGCTCAAATTGAATCTCAGATTGCAAGACAAGGAAGACAGGCTATACTGGATGCGATAGACGGGCCATCACCAAGACGCTATTACTACTAGCTAATTGCTATCCACTTTTTCAATTCATGTTGATTTTCTGCAAATCAAATGCTTTGCAGCTGCGCTGTTATGTTATTTTCTTTTGGAGCACAATTAGTTCTCTTTCAACTCTTGTATATCTATTTTATTTTCGGTTTCCCATACCCACATTGGAGCGCTGCATAGTGCCCAATTCGAGGAGGGGGATCGCTCTCTATCAAGAACTTTTTCATAGCTAAGACTTGAATTTGAGACCTCTGATTAAGAGAGGATCAACACCATCCACTACACCACATCCTGGTGACTTGTATTTTTATGGTTCATGTTGATGCACGTTTTTCTCCATCTTCTTTACAGTTTCTATGTTTATCTATTCACAATTGTTGATAATTGATATTGTTGGGGGGAATTTACATTTATACTAACATAACAGAAATTCTTAAAATGCATATAAAAAATAATGGAAGAATATCTTGTGCACAAAAATTAAGACTAGAACTAAAAATGCACTAGCCCTATAATACAAGGGTGAAACGTGCAATTTTGCTTAAATGTATAAAGGAGATAATTCGATGGGCAGAAAAACGGAAATTGGTTTTATTTTTTCATTAGTTTGTAATGTGTACCTAAGAAATAATGAATTCAAATGTCTGCTCCTTTGACAAGTTAGTTTTCAATGCTGCAGTAACAAAAGCTTCAACGTCCAAAATATTGATGCATATCTAAATTAAAAATGCCAACTAATTGATTAGAGCAAATTGATAGTCATTCGTAATCGTAACTTCCATGAACCTAAGAAAGTTGAATTCCTATGTTATTAACTTTTCCCTTGCTATTTCTATCATCATTAAATAGCTATAAATACAATTACAAATATTACTGTAACTCACTTAATTTACTCGCACTATCTAACAAAAATACAAGTAAAATCAATGGGAAGAAAAAACCGTACCGATATGACATCGTCGACCCAAGGAACGACATCGTTTCAAGATAATCAAGTACATTTCAGCCACCCCCACATCTTGAAACTTGTTAATCCAACTGTGCGTACTCTCACTTGCAATGCTTGTGAGCAACAAAACAATAATAACAAGCCTTTTTATGGCTGCAACAGTTGCTGTAACAACTCAATAATAACCAAGGGAACTTTTGTAGTATTGCAATCACTGACTGGAATTACAAGAAAATAACAACTGATAAGGAGGAACAATTAAGAAGAAGAAGATAGAGATGAGATACAGAAGAAGATAAAAGATGAGAGTAACAGACAACTTCTTTCACAATTTGCATAAACCACTTCTTCTCATCCGTCATCCTTTTAGCTAGTTGTTAAATGGGCCTGGATCTTAAACCAGCCTTTGCAAAGGCCTTCCAGTTTTGTTGCTTCTTCTCGGCCCAATAACTAGTTGTGTGACATTCGTAAAGGTATCGTTATTGGGCTGAGGCTGGTTCATAACAATACTCCCGTCCTCAATAGGAACCTTGTCCTCAAGGTTCGAGTAAGGAACAATGTTAGTAGCACGCTCCCTACCAAATGTAGTCAAGACAAACTGTGCAATGTTGGCAAAATATAAAATATGATCTTGTATACTTCTTGCACAACCAGCAACCATCCATTTGTTCTGCCTTTGTGCAGCCCTTAACTGGTTCTTCATTAACCGCTCCCAAATCTTGCACAAAAAATTTGCTGACATAATAAATTCGGAGATTTCCGCCTTGACATCGTGAGAATGGAATTCTTTTACTGGAAAGCCACACTCATACTCCATAAAAATGTAATCAAGATAATCCTGAATAAATCTTTGTAGCTCAGTCCATGAATAAGTTGCAACTATATAACACATAATTGAGCTCAAACTTGAACCAGTAAGTATGCTTGGCCTAAGCTTGTGCTCTGTCAACAGTAGGACCCAAACAAACTGAAATATGAACTTTGCTTGCAAGAAATTACTCTCGACAAAGATGCTATCAGTGTAACAATGTTGAATCATTCGAGGAGTTAGGTGATAAAGTAAGGCAATCTGTTGGTCAGTTCTCTGCGGTGCAAGTTCTTCATCAAGATATAACTGCTGGCGAAATACGTCCATTGTCTTACCAGGTAACTTAGCAAATATATCATAAGCAAGATAAGGACCAGGACCAAAGCCTAGATAAGACAAAGTTATCTTTGATATATGAACTACACCAAATATAGTCAACAAGAGCACATCATCTTTGTTGACAAAAATATCAGAAAACTGCTCTGAATATCGTGCGGCAAATGCCCCAAGCAACCCCTGCATTTTCTCCGCCCTACCGAACTCTCTCGATTTAGGCAACAAGATACCAGGAAGACATTGCTCTTGTCCTTTACCAACCCAAATGCAAGAATACCACAAGATTGACATAATTAACTTATTATGATCCAAGTTGTCTAAGGCGACACAAAATACATAGTTTCTTGTAACTCTAAGGAACATGGTAAGTGAACGAGAGCCAGGATCAAATGGAAACACTAATCCAAATTGATCAGGTGGAAACATATGCAAAGTTAAGAGAAGTGAAGCATGACCAAAACTACTAAAGTGATCAATTATACCTCTATTAATAAGTTGGTCATATCTGCAAGTTGAAAGCATTTCAGACATCTCCTCTAAGCATCGGGTTATCCCAAGTTTATGTATCATATTAAACATGGCAAAGTCACCGAAAGTAGAAAATGTAGAATCAATCCATAATGGACGTATTCCCACAAATGCAGGAACTAGTTGTTGTATTTTATTTGCAATGGTAAAAAGCTTTTCTTCTTCTTCTTCCTCATTCTTGTCTTCGTTTCCAACATCAATAACATAGTCATTTTCCTCAATAGTATATGTGGTAATCGTAAGCACCTTGTGTGATTCTAGAATAACATCCTTACATCTTACGGAAAATTCATCGAACACCTTGTGTGCCTCATTGTTGTTGTATACAAGTGGTTCATTAACGTGTTGTGGAACAAGGAACTCCGCCCCCTCTTTAGTTTCATCCGAAATCGAATGAAAAATCTTCTCTTTTGCTTGAGTGTCCAACATTTCAGCACTGCCATTTTTAATTAGCATTGTTGCATTCTCAACATCTACAACAATATCAGATGTCTTATTTGACTTTTCACCGAACACCTGGTGGGCAGATTTCACTTTGTTGTAGTCCAATGGTTCATTCCACGACTGAGGCGAGGGCAAGTTAGGGATAGTGCTCCATGACGAAATAGTTGCAGCCCGTGGCTGATAATCATCCACTGTGGTAAACTGCCGGAGAAAGGCGAATCGATTGTGAGGATCTTTCCGACTTTGAAAACGAATAAACAATTTATCTACAAAATGATCCCAACCCGCAGGTTGTTTGTTTCGGAAAAGCCAACGATACCATTCCAAAGCCTCGCCATCCAAATAGAATGAAGCCCAAGACAGTTTATGCTCCGATAATATGTCGTAGAAGATGAAATACTTCTCTGTCTGAATCACCCACTCTAGAGGATTGTCACCACTGAAGCGACCCATGACAGGGGCTTGAGATAGGTCCACCATGGTAGATGGAATCAATGAAAGCACCAATGTAACAACTCAATAATAACCAAGGGAACTTTTGTAGTATTGCAATCACTGACTGGAATTACAAGAAAATAACAACTGATAAGGAGGAACAATTAAGAAGAAGAAGATAGAGATGAGATACAGAAGAAGATAAAAGATGAGAGTAACAGACAACTTCTTTCACAATTTGCATAAACCACTTCTTCTCATCCGTCATCCTTTTAGCTAGTTGTTAAATGGGCCTGGATCTTAAACCAGCCTTTGCAAAGGCCTTCCAGTTTTGTTGCTTCTTCTCGGCCCAATAACTAGTTGTGTGACATTCGTAAAGGTATCGTTATTGGGCTGAGGCTGGTTCATAACAGTTGCCAATATTTCCTCCACGAAAACTGCCTCAATGCTCCGCGATTTCTTGATCACTCATCTCATCCTTCACACCCTTTAACGCTTCTCCCAATTCCAACTTACCCGACTCGTTCCTTTCTTTGCAACGCCTGTGGATCTTCTGGCAACGGATTCAGCTTTAGCTGTGCCCGTTGCCAGTTTGATGTCCACGTGCAATGTGCCTCTTGTCCGAGTTCATTACTCATCGACAAGCACCCACATCAATTGGAGTTCATATTGGGTTCTCCTTACCAAGATAAGGATATCAAATACGTTTGTGATGTCTGCGATGCAGTAATGAACAAGGACAATTGGTTGTACTATTGTGCTGATTGTGATTTCGGGGCGCATTTGCAGTGTGCTAGCCCTGAACGCACTTGCAGTGTGCTAGCCCTGAACTTAATGTTTACGTAGGAAGCCGATCAATTAATCCAAATGCAAATTCAGCACTGGAAATGATAAATTCAGTTAATGAGATTAGTGATAATTTTTTTTGAATATCAACTTGCTAGTCGGATGGCAACACGATTAGGAGAAGAAATGATGGATTCGAGCAGGCCAACACGAACATACATTTACTATTGACTATATATTAATGTCATCATCTTATGAGTGATAATGCATCCACTTTGATATTATTCATGTAATTTCTGCAAAATATAAATGCTTGATAATTTGCATGTCATATTATTTATGTTTTATCGATCTCGTGTGTTTAATATCGTTGCTGGATATGTTTCTCCATCTTACGATATCTATTACAACTGTTTAAATTTCCGCATAGAATAATAAGATTAATTTCACAACTTAATTATGCACCATTTTGAAAGCTTCACCTCTATGTATCTTTAATTCAAGACAGTATTCCAACAGTGATTTGTGCGCAACAACTGGGAGTCAGACTAATAAATTGATCACTTGCCCTATAACACAATTAATCATCTATCATAGATCATATATATATATATATATATATAAAAAGAATCCTAGACCAGCCTACGTGGCGCTTTCAGAAACCAGGATTCCCTTTTAATTTATTTTATTTCCAAAACTAGCCTTCAGCTTTCATGAAGAGTTGCGACTTTTATGAAGAATTGCGACTTTTATGAAAAGTTGTGACTTTTATGAAATGTTGTGACCTTTCCGATAAGACACAATAAGCATTTGTTCACACTACCCTTTGCTGTCTATAAATAGAGGAATTTCCTCTCATTTTAAAACAACGAAAATTTTGAACTTCTTCTTCTAGACAGTTAAATAATTGTGTACTTTGCTCCTGTTGAATAACTCACTGACACCATTTTTTTGTATCAACACACCGGTGAATAGAATTGTTCTTTCCAGAGAGGATCTATTCCTTTAAATCTCGGGTACTAGGAGGGAATAATTTCCTTAAGGGGACATTGTGCATTCAGTGGACTCGATTTTTTCCATTTTGTTTCATTCTATTGTTATAGACTCTTGTATGTTTTTACAGTCATTAATTTATGCTTATATTATTAATTGTTATTTTTGAGTATATACTTTAAATTTTGATGTTTATGTTTCTGCAATATTATTGTTATAAGTATTTGTTAGTACATATTAAATAACAAATGTTAATTGAGTATTCAAGCAAGTTTTCTCTACTGGAATTGTTGATGGTACGATAAAAAACCCTTACATTTTTTTCTTATAACAGTCGGTTAAGAGAACCCTAGGCCCACATACATGGTGCCACCACAAACCAGGATTCCCGTTTAACTTATTTATTTCCAAAACTAGCCTTCCCTTTTCATGAAAAATTGTGACTTTTATGAAAAGTTACGATTTTAATGAAGTGTTGCGACTTTTATCAAAAGTTGTGACTTTTATGAAAAGTTGAGACTTTAATGAAGAGTTGCAACTTTATGAAAAGTTGTGACTTTTATGAAATGTTGTGAACTTTCCGAAGGATTGCACTTTTCCAAATAGTTGTAACATTTTCGATAAGGCACAATAAACATTTGTTCACACTACCCTTTGTTATCTATAAATAGAGAAAATTTTGAACCTCCTCTTCTTCTTCAGCACAATTAAATATTCGTATACTTTGCTCTTATTGAGTGACTCATTGCCACCATTGATTATGTTACAGATCCTGGTATGTATTTTACAATCATTAATTTATGCTTATATTATTAATGATAAATTATAAGATGTTATAATATTTATTTTCCTTTACATTATTAATGTTTGTTACTACGTAACCTTGTATGTAAGATAATATAGTATTTTAGTTTTAATGACTGATAGATTTTAAGTATTATTTTATAAATTCTGTGATATTAAATTCTCGTGCGAAGCGCGAATAATTTTACTAGTTAAGACTTAAGATAAGTTGTTTGGTAGAAGGGATAAAATTAGGGGTTAAACACGAAGGATCCCTAGCCTCAAAAGGTACTTATTATATGAACTCTCCAATGTGCCTGTGTATATATACATATATATGATCTAGATAAAGATTCAGAATCCATTAAAGGGTCTCTAGCAAAAAGTGAACAAAAACGCATTCAGTTAATTGTTGGTGTAAAAATACTTTTATCGTCAATAATTAGGTCCAAAAATGTCCCTATTATTACTTCATGGTTAAAAAATGCTCCTTTCTAATGAATATATTACTATTATTTTTCTTTTAATCACATTTTATTTTTAATAAAAAATTTAAATTTAAAGAACCTCAGTCTTGTTTTTTTTACCCTCCCCTAGGAGCTCCCACCCTTTTGCTTCCTTGGTGACTCGAACTCGCAACCTTCGAATTGAAAGTGAGGGGTGCTTACCATCCGAGCAACTCCCTCTTGTCTTGTTTCTTTTATTTTAAAATCACTTTCTCTACAAAATAAGTAGAAAATAATCTTAAATAATCTTTTTTTCTTCTTAATTTCATCAATTAATATAAAATAACTATATGTACCTTTTTAACTGACCATATAGGTCAAATTACTCAAATTTATAAGATCATAATAACCCCAACCCATCATAATTTCATTTTGGTATAGATAATTTCTTTTTTGATAAAATAGAAATATTTGTATTTTCTTAATTTTTGTTGAATTGAAGTAGGATACACATTTCCTAATAAAAATATCTATTATTAGAAAAAAAAAACGTGTTTAAAAAAGAAAAGAAATATTATATTTATTTGAAAAAGGACAGTTTTAACTCTTTAAGTAATAATAGGAATATCTTTTTAACCAAACTAGTGACGACAAGAGCCTTTTTAGACTAGACTATCGATTGAGGGCATTTTGTTCAATTTCACATAGTTCAAAGATGTTTTTGACCCTTTTCCATAAATCTTATATGAAATCTGATCACATCCACCTTGAGAAGTATGGTAACACGAGAAAGACAACTTGATCGAGAATGATAAATCAAATAAATATATGATTGTGCCTCTGACAAGTTAATCACTGCCTTCATTTAAAAAAGAATGACTATTCATTAAGAACAATCTCTTTCCATTTTGGGCAAAACTTTAATTTCAACTTTTTCTGTGACATAATTAAATCCAGAAAATTAAAGGACATTTTTGATATATTTGACAAAACTTTAATTAAGGAGCACAACATTAAAAATATATTTTTATTTTCTTAAACCTAATTCCAAATTAAATTAGATTATTCTTTTTAAAATCGTGAGAGTATAATATTGAAACGCTGCAATAATCAAGACTCCAAAGTCTGATATGAACAAATAGTCGACTAGCACTACGTACCAAAATGATTGATGGCATGCCAACTTGCAAGAACAAAAAGTCAACCGAAAACTTCCATGAACCTCAACATATTTATACGTAGGGGTATCAAATGGGCAGATTGGGTTGAAATTGGAGATATTAAAATAGGTTGAAATAGAAATTGGGTTGGGTCTTGACCTGCCCAAGTTTACTTTGGGCTCAAATGGGCTAAAAAACGGGTTGGGCCTTGACCCGCCCAATTTGACCCGATCAGTCTCAATAATTTTAACATAGTGATATTTAACTTTTATAATCACAATTCGAATTTCAGTTCATTTTTTTTTTTAAAAAAAGTAACAAATGGATAGATAAATCTTAAAAGGTGTTAAATAGATAATAATTCATACCTTCAATATAGGAACATATCTTAATAAAGAATTTTAAAACGGGTTGAAATTGATGATTGAATTGAGCTTAATTGAGGATTCTCTTAAAATGAGTTAGACTTGAATGGGTTGAGATTGAACCTAATTCAAATTATCTTGAGCCCAACCCTTAAAATTTTGGGCGGGTTGGACGGATTATCTATGTTTGGGTTCATTTTTGACACCCCTTATACCTTGTGAATACGAAGATGCTCGACGCCATTTTAGTCAAAGTCAAAAACATGAAGATGCTCGGCGCCATTAGTACGTAGCTCATGGATAACAGCCTAGTCAGTCAATATGATAAAGATGTTTAAATATACTTTTGCATAACAATTTGGCCCAATTGTTAATTAATGTCGGAGACGACTTAGCAAAAGAAAAAGAAATTATGGAAGCAAAGTCGTCTAAAGGAAGCAACGTGGCCAAGTTATTGCATCGTATAGCTGAATTAAAATATCTATAAATGTATATATCACTTGCAGCTAGCTAAGCTAACTCTCCATTATAGTACTGCACAAGAAAATTACAATTAAAAAAAATGGGAAGACAAAACAGGGGTACAAATGCGGGACCTCAAGATAAACAACACTTCAGCCATTCCCACATCTTGAAACTAATTGTGAATCCAACTGAAACAGTACTCACTTGCAATGCTTGTGAGCAACCAAACAATACTAACAAGCCATTATATGGCTGCAACACCTGCCAATATTTCCTCCATGAAAGCTGCTTCAATGCTCCGCGTTTTCTCAATCACGCGTCTCATCCTTCCCATCCCTTGACCCTTCTCCCAAGTGCGACTTATTCGAGTTGTTCCTTTACTTGCAAGGCTTGTGACTCTGCTGGCAATGGATTTTGCTTTAGCTGTGCTTGTTGTGAATTTGATATCCACTTGCAATGTGCATCTCTTTCGAGTTTGATACTTGTTGATAAACACCCACATCAATTGGAGCTCAACTTTGATTCTCCTTACGAAGACAAGGATAGTGAATATGTTTGTGATATCTGCAGTGAAATAATGAACAAGGAGAATTGGTTGTACTATTGCGGTGGCTGTGATTTCGCATCACACTTGCACTGTGCGATAACTAGTCCTGAAGTTGGTGTTTTCGCCAAACAGCAGCGTCCAATTCCAAATCCAAATCCAAATCTAAATTCAAATTCAAATCCGAATTCAAATAGAAATCCAAATGCAAGAGTGGAGATGATAAATTCAGCAAATGAAGCTGAAGAACAGATAATGGCAGCTCAACTTCGTGCTCAGATTGCGGCACGAGGAAGAGAGGCTTGTCTGGACTTGATGACACCACGAAGACGATACGGTTACTATTAACTCTATCATCGTGATGAGAAAATTGTTTAAGCTCAAATTATGTTGTCTTTTAATTGCAAAATAAATGTTTTGGTGTGTTATTTCTCTTTCTGATCACTCTCTTCAATATCAAATGTTAGTACTATTAATTACTGTTTCCAATTTTATCAGGTGAGTGCAATAATTTAAGTTGTCAATGTTCACTCTAAGAAAACAAAAACGAATTACTAAGAATTATACTAAATTGTTTCTGATAATTCAAATAAAAATATTATGCAGATAAATATAAGGGAATTCTAGATTTAAACGTGACACCTGAATAAGAAAATACTTATCACTCCAAATAGAGCTTATGAGAGAGATAAGAAAATGAACAAGGAAGTTTTAGTGTATGTCAAATTATACGAAGATGCTCGCCATTATTTTAGTAACCAATGATAACAGCGCTAAGTCAGTCAATATGCTTACAGATATTTAAACACACTTTTCAATAACAATTGGCCAAATTGTTTGTTCTCCAGATTTAATAAAGTTTTTTTAAAAAAAGTTGTTTGTTCTCCATGTTATTAACTTGTTAGTATAGTTGAATTAGTATCTATAAATGCACGTCAAAATTGCAACGAAAAATAAGACACAATGGGAAGACTAAACGGGGGTACAAATGCGGGTAAACAACACTTCAGCCATGACCACATCTTGAAACTAATTGCCAATCCAACTGAAACTCTCACTTGCAATGCTTGTGAGAAACCAAACAATACTAACAAGCCTTTCTACGGCTGCAACACCTGCCAATATTTTCTCCATGAAAACTGCTTTAATGCTCCGCGTTTTCTCAATCACTCGTCTCATCCTTCCCACCTCTTGACCCTTCACCATCCGCCTTACGCGGGTGGTTACTATATTTGCAACGCTTGTGGGTCTGATGGAAATGGATTTTGCTATAACTGTGCTGCTTGTGATTTTGATATTCACTTGCAATGTGCATCCTGTCCTAGCTCCATACTTGTTGATAAACACCCGCATCAATTGGAGCTCCACTTTGGTTCTCCTGATGAAGACAAGGATAGTGAATATGTTTGCGACATCTGCTTTGTAACGATGAACAATGACAATTGGTTGTACTATTGCGCTGGCTGTGATTTCGCGTCACACTTGCACTGTGCTATAACTAGTCCTGAAGTCGGTGTTTTCCCCAAACAGCACCATCCAAATCCAAATCCAAATTCAAGTCGGAATTCCAATGTGAATGAAGTGGTGGATATGATAAATTCAGTGAATGATGATCATGACAGGCTCATAGCAGCGCAAATTGCAGCTCAGATTGACGCACGATCAAGACGCGCTATGCTGGACTTAGTCTAGGCCATCACGAGCATACAGTTACGCATATAACTCTATCGTGGTTATCTAATGCATCCGCTTTGGCCTTCTTCAGTTTTTATTGCAAAATAAATACTTTATTGTCGTTATCATGTTATTTCTCTTTCAAATTTGTATCTTTGATCGATCCATGATCATCAAGTTTCTCCATTTTCCTTTTGGTTTCTATGTTTATCTATTACAAACTAGTGTTTCATTTTTCTTTTTTTTTGTTCTCTTTTCTTGGATCGAAAATTAATGCCTTTGGCAGAATGATAACCATATCAGTCCTCTCTTAGTAAAAACATACTTTCTATTTGTGAGAAGGGATTAGTACTTTAATTCGAAGTTGATTTCTTGGATGGACACCCAATTCACAATTTTAATCTCAGAAAGATTTTATTTTATTTTTTGTTGAAGAAAATTGAATTAGAGAAGAAATATAATTTTATGAGATAATAATTAAGTATAAATTAGGTGATAATCAGAGATATAAGGATGAGAATCAAACAGACATGATTATTCGCCTGATCGACAAGATAATTAGTATTGTCTCTATCATTTTATGTGTCATTCTTTCTTTTGTAATCTATTTCAAAAAGAATGTTATGTTAGTATAATAAGTAACAATTTAACTTTAAAAATTCTCTTTTATCTTGGTGAAATGATTTGTAATCACACAAGTATCAAAGAAATGTTTTAGATCACAAATTTCAAAAGTTATTTTTTTTTTTTAAACACCATGTCAAATCAAATGGCGCCAGTATGCCACATTTTTTTTAAAAAAGAAGAGAAAATTGGGGGTAGGGGTAAGAGAAATGGGGAGAGAATTACAATATGGGGAATCAAACCTCATCAACAAGGGGAGAATTTAAATAGCCAACCAACTAAGCTGCTAAAATTTTCTTATACCACATAAAATGAGACGGAGAGTATTAAGAAGCTTCAATAATCAGACTAATATTATCTGATACAAATTAGAAGAAGCTCTAAATGAAGTAGTAGTCGACCAGCCCTACGAAAATGATTGATGAATTCCCAATTTGCAGAGAGCAAAAAGTCACATTGCGGATAAAACGGTCCCTAATAAAGGTGATTTCTTATTCAAGATATTTAATTAAGGATGAAAGAGTACTTACCCATGGCGTCCACCACAATCCCGATTGTTTAACACATTTAACTCGTGAATACGAAGATGCTCGGCCCATTTTAGTACGTACCAGTTAGTCAATCAATTGGCCAAATTGTTAATGTCGGAAACGACTTATTAGTTAGTAAAAGAAAAAGGAAATATGCATCGAAGCAAAGTCGTCCAAACGAAACAACGTCGCCAAGTTATATCATATAGTTGAATTAAAATGAGATAAATGTCAAAAACACATTTAAACTATACCATTTTTTTGAGTTTCATACCTAAACTATTGAGAGTGTCAGTTTCAACCTAAACTATCACTTATTAGTTTGAGAAACACACCTCTCTCTTTTATATCACTCTCATCATGGGGTGTGAAATATACTCTCTTTTATTTTAAAAAATTGTCACATCACACTTCACATGAACAAAACATTTCGCCTTGAAAAAAATTAAATAAATAATTAGTATTAGTTAAAATTAAAGATTAAAATTATTGTCCCAAAAAAATATTTTTTTCTTACCTCACTCCATCACTTCCTCTCAACCCCCCCCCCCCCTCCCAATACTAATTTAGATATTATTTTATTTTTAAAAAATAATTATATCCACTAGTCCACATAACCCTTCGCTTTCAAAAATTTTTCTCATTTTGTGTTATATATATACCAAAAATATTTGTTACTTGCCGCAAGACTTTTTTAAAATAAATTTTTATTTATGTTACATTCGGCACACAAGTAGAAAAAAAATCTTAAAAATCACAAAACGAGAAAAATGTAAAATAAATATATAAATTAGGAGTGAAGGATTAAATAGGATGGGGTAGAATTTTTTTTTTTAAAATAAAATAATATCATGGAATGAGTGGGTGGTTTTTTTTTTTTTTTTTTTGGGGGGGGGGGGGGGTTACGGGGAGGAGGTGGTGGAATGGAGTAAAAAAAAAATTATTTTATTTTTTAAAAAAATAAAAATTGGGATAGTAATAATTTAATTTTAAATTTTAAATTAATATTAATTTAGCTTATTATTTAATTTTTGTTAAGGTGAAATATTTTATCCATGTGGAATACCATGTGTCAATGTTTTTTCAAATAAAAGAGAGTGCATTACACACACCACTGAGATGTGTTTCTCTAACTAATAAGTGATAGTTTAGGTATGAAACTGACACTCTCAATAGTTTAGGTATGAAACTAAAAAAAATGTATAATATAAGTGTGTTTTTGACATTTATAAATATGCAACTACGTACGTAACTCTTCAATATATCTCTATTACATTGCACAACAAAATTACTAAAGAAAAAGAAACACAATGGGAAGACTGAACAATGTGGCAGCTCAAGGTTTGTCTAACTAACTTTTAACCATGATAGCTTGTTAGATTTAACTAAACAATCTCACTTGATGAGCAAGAGTTTGGGATTGAGTTAGACTCAAAGTATATCTTATCAAAATTTAATATTTGCATATATTTGGTAGATTTTTAAACACATACACGAAGTTTGAGCCAAAATTAGTGACCCTTTCTATCGTGCATCTTCCCTGGTTGACAAACGAATTAAATAGGTGCCTTTGAACTTGGGCGTGGAATAATAAGATTGAGTTCACATTTTGCCTATGCTTTAAGCCTTAGTTTTTTCCATTGTTAACGACGCTTATCGCAACAGTGTTCCAAACACGATTTGTGCGAAACAACTAACAGTAGGACTAATATGGACTAGAGCTATAACACAAGGGTTAAAAGTACAGTTTTTTTGCCATATCATAATTAAGAAGGGACGAAGCTAGAGTACTTCGGTTATATTTTTTATCAATAAGTAGCTTTAATTCAAACTCTGTATTATTGTTCTAAAAATTCATCGCATGTGTGCAAATAATTGAGCTGAATCCCAATTTGCACAAATCCTGGTACATCGGAAGAGTTCAAATACAGAGGATGATCGTGATCGATCTTCTTTGCCATATCGAAAAATTGAAAATCAAACAGAAAAACTAATGTGCCTCACAATCGGCTACACCCGCTCTGATACCATGATAAACTGCTCATAGATTATATGTAATCAGTGAAGAACTAGATGCAAAGCTTGAACCTCCATTACTGAACTTTACAATTAAGCTATATAAAAGGGAATATCTTGTGAATTGAACTAATATCTCTACTCTACAACTGTTGAGTCACACCTTATATACAGTTTCTAACCGATTAATTATCTATACAAAATATCTTCTAACTAACTGATAATGCCAGCTTGATCTAACTAATAATGACAGTTGGCCAGGTGCATGTTAGCTCTTTGCAATCTCCTTGTTATAATCTCCAATAGGATTCACATTGAAAAATCTCATGTTCAGGGAAAAATATTCTCAAACATTAAAGGTGATTCTATTTGTAGGGCTCGAACCCAAAACCTAAAAAAGGAGCAACATTTAGGGTGTGTTTGGTATGAAGGAAAATGTTTTCCATGGAAAATGTTTTCCTAGAAAATGTTTTCTTGAAAACAAATTGATTTTTGACTTATTTTCTCATGTTTGGTTGGTGAGTATAAAATATTTTCCGAAAAAGATTTTTAGTGTTTGATTTATGAATGAAAAATGTTTTTGAAAAATTTCTTTTATTTTTACTAGATTAGAAAATAATTGTTGAAATTGAAAATATTTTTTAAAAACAAACTTATTTTTTTTGGGGGGTGGGGGCTGGTAGGGGGTGGGTGGGGGTGGGGGGTGGGGGGTCGAGGGTAGGGGTGAAAAATTGAAATTTTGAAGTTAAAAATATTTTTTAAAAACAAACTTAAAATTTTTTTTGGGGGTGGGGGGTCGAGGGTAAGGGTGAAAAATTGAAATTTTAAAGTTAAAAATATTTTTTTAAAACAAACTTAAATTTTTTTTTTGGGGGGTGGGGGGGCTGGTAGGGGGTGGGTGGGTGGGTGGGGGGTCGAGGGTAGGGGTGGAAAAAATGAAATTTTAAAGTCGAAAATATTTTTTAAAAACAAACTTAATTTTTTTTGGGGGGGTGGGGGGCTGGTACGGAGTGGGTGGGTGGGTGGGGGGTGGAGGGGTCGAGGGTAGGGGTGGAAAAAATGAAATTTTGAAGTCGGAAATATTTTTTAAAAACAAACTTAAAAGTTTTTTTGGGGAGTGGGGGGTTTGGTGTGGGTGGGGGCTAGGGTAGGGGGGTCGAGGGTAAGGGTGAAAAAATGAAATAATGTTTTTTAAAAACAAACTTAATTTTTTTTCCTTTTGAAGAGGGTGGGATAGGGGGCTGGGGGAGGGGGGCGAAGGTAGGGGGTGGGGGGTGTAAAAAAATAAAAAATTGAAATTAAAAATATCTTTTAAAAACAACTTTTAATATTTTTTTGGGAGGGGTGGTGGTAGGGGGTGGGGTAAAAATATTGAATTTAAAAACAAACTTTAAATTATTATTTTTTTGGGGGTGGTTTGAGGGTAGGGACCAAATAAATTGACTTTTTCAACAATTTTTTTTTAATTGGAAGTTGGAAGAGAGTTTTGGAAAATGTTTTCCATAAGTTTTGAAGGGAAGTCATTTTCCTTAAATTTGAGGAAAATGAGTTGATTTGGAAAACATTTTCCAAAACATTTAACCCAATCAAACATGAGAAAATTGGAAAATATTTTCCTTCATACCAAACACACCCTTAGACGCTGTCAAATTATAGGAAGATGCCCCCCATTATTTTATAGTAGCCATTCGATAAGAGCGCCAAGTAAGTCAATATGCTTACAGATATACTTTTGAATAGCAACTGGCCAAATTGTTGCTATTAATAAAGGGGAAAAAAACATGAATGCAAAGTGGTGGAAGGAGACAATGTGGCCATGTTAACTTGTGAATACGATTATACAAAGATGCTCGGCGCCATTTTAGTCAAAGTCAAAACACAAAGATGTCGGAGACGACTTATTAGTTAGTAAAAGAAAAAGGAAATATGCATCGAAGCTAAAGTCGTCCAAACGAAACAACGTCGCAAAGTTATTGTATCATAAAGTTTAATTGAAATATCTATAAATATGCAGCTACTTAACTCTCCAGGAGTATATTGCACAACAAAATTACAAAGGAAAAAATAAAACACAATGGGAAGACTAAACGGGGGTACAAATGCGGGTAAACAACACTTCAGCCATGACCACATCTTGAAACTAATTGCCAATCCAACTGAAACTCTCACTTGCAATGCTTGTGAGCAACCGAACAATAGTAACAAGCCTTTCTACGGCTGCAACACCTGCCAATATTTCCTCCATGAAAACTGCTTTAATGCTCCGCGTATTCTCAATCACTCGTCTCATCCTTCGCACCCATTGACCCTTCACCAAATTCCATCTTACGCGGGTGGTTCCTATATTTGCAATGCTTGTGGCTCTGTTGGAAATGGATTTTGCTTTAACTGTGCTGATTGTGAATTTGATATTCACTTGCAATGTGCATCCTGTCCTAGCTCCATACTTGTTGATAAACACCCGCATCAATTGGAGCTCCAATACGGTTATCCTGAGGATAGCGAATATGTTTGCGATATCTGCTCTGTAATGATGAACAAGGACAACTGGTTCTACTATTGCGGTGGGTGTGATTTCGCTTCACACTTGAACTGTGCGATAATTAGTCCTGAAGTTGGTGTTTTTCCCAAACAGCAGCGTCCAAATCCAAATTCAAATCCAAGTCGGAATTCCCATGCGAATGCGGCGGTGGAAATGATAAATTCAGTGAATGATGATCATGACCGGCTTATAGCAGCTCAAATTCGTGCTCAGATCGACGCACGATCAAGACGCGCTATGCTGGACTTAATCTAGGCATACAATTACATATATCTAATGCTTCCGCTTTGGCCTTCTTCTGTTTTTAGTGCAAAATAAATGCTTTATTGTTGTTATCATGTTATTTCTCTTTCATAACAAATAATATTTATCCGTCTATCACAATACTTGGCTTATTGATCAAATTGAGCTTGTAAACGAAATGAGAAATTGAATAAGTAAATTAATTAACTTGAGAAAACCAACAAGATCAGGCAAAATTTTAGTGTATACAAAAAGTAAAGTAAAGTAAATTATAAAAAAGTTGCTTGATATGATTTGGTTATATCCTTTATCAACCCTTAGATCCAAAGGTTAGAAACCTGTTTGGTGATTGTAGTTGAAAAGGCGGGAGCATGTTTATTATTCCTGATAATTCAAATAAAATATATGTCGACAAACAAATTAGTAAAATATGAACAAAATTACAATAGGAGCATTTGAACTTCAGTAGAGAATAATAAGATTAATTTCACAGCTTAATTATGCACGCTACGTTTTACTGAACCCAAATAATCGCAACTGTGTTCCAACGGTGATTTTGTGCACAACAATTGGGAGTCGAACAAATAAATTCACTAGCACTATGCTCCCTCCATTTCATATTAATTGAATTGTTGAGGTGTTTCATATTCTTTAAGAAAATAAGATTAAAATTAAATTAGGCTTAACTTTCCATTTTTACTCTTATTAATTATTATCGAAATTATGATTAAAATAACTAAACATTAATTAATAACTAATTCCAATAATAACTAATGAAGGGTAAAATTGAAAAAACATTCTAAAAGTAGTCTTGAAAATTGAACAATTAAATTAATTTGAAAAATTAAAAATGTCTCAACAATTCAATTAATATGAAATGAAGAGAGTATATTAATAACACAATTAATAAGGTAATTCAGGAAAGATACCAATCATTACTATTTTGTCCATTACTTATAGTGTTGATCAGCATTTTAATATTATATTATATTCTACCTTGGAATGGCCACATTAACAATTTTTGTTTGTCTATTCGTTGGAGCATCTACTGGATCATTGCTTGCAATGGATAAACATTTGTGCCTTAGTGGAAAATTAATAACCAAAGGCATTATTGCATTAGCCTTTGTGATGAACATTTCTGTGAACGTTGGAAAGTTGGCCGTTGTGCCAATGCACGTTAGAGGCATTGGTTACCCCTCTCATTATTCCATTCTTAATTTTTTCATTATCCTTGTAACCTATATAACTTTTAAGATCATTATCTTCACTATTTATTACACCATTATCTTCTTATTCATTGCTAGAAAGACTTCTTCTAGTATAAATAGTGGTAATCTTCATTTGGTTTAAAATAAAAAGGAAATATATAGTGCATAAGATTTGTCAAAAAGAGAGTTCTTATTAGTTGAAGGGAGATGTTTCTTTTGTGGAGCTTTGAACTCAATTTTTGTCCAGAGTTGTTGAGTTATACTTTGTGAAGGTTGTCGTATCCTGGAGGGAACAAGTCAAGAGGACTACTACTAGACCAGTGAAGAACATTTGTTGCAGTGGGCTTGAATCTCCTTAAAAAGAGCAAGATATCCATGCCTCAGCCTGAAGAAATTTATTTCTTTATTTTTATTTTCAATTGTAATCTTGTATTTTTTGTTATCTTGTAAGTTTTTCACTAAAATATAGTATAGTAGATGAAGGCTGTGTGTACAGGATGTGGGTCCTGTCCAGTGCCTTTACCATCCAATTGGTCCAGCTGCCATTTGTCACATAATGATCTAAAGGATCAATAATTATTTAACCAAAACAACCTCTTAAACCATGGCTAAGCTACATATTTTTTGGCTAACCGCTGAATTCTCAAGATAGAAAAGAAATCTGAGAGGGTCGGTGAAATTTTTCTGCTAATTCCTAAATCCGAAAAATTTGTTGAGGCAATTATCTTTTGCTGGAAAAAAGATTTGCTTACCACGGACAATATATGTTCAAGAGAGAAAGATACAAGACTTAACAAACAGAGAAGATTAAATCATTTACTAGTGACAACAACAGAAGATCAAAAAGATCAAGAAAAATCAGTTGGTGAACATATTTTTTTCTCGACAAGAAGAGACAACACAAAAGCAGGTTTGTTATTCGTTGTTCTTACGCTCTTTTTGTAGTTGCAACTTTCAGTGTGAAAAAGTGTACGCAATGTGTTCGATAAAATGTTTCAGTTAGATCTTATGGGTATATATATTATGTAAAAATGAAATTCCGAAAATGTGAGTATTTAATATTCTTAAGCACACAGAATAAATTTAATAAAGTTCACAAACATTTTCTAACAATGGTGCCTGTGAAGTTACAACTTGAAGTAGTTGGAATATCAATGTAGCATGTCACTCCGAAGTTGTCGAAAATCAACAACATATTTAGTGTAATCTCATAAGTAGGATATGTGAAGAATAGCTAGTATGCTAATCTTACTCTTATCTAAAAAGGTAGAAAGGTTATTCCCAAAATTGAAGAAGCCATAGTTAATACTAAAAGAACATGATAAAGCATTCTTAAAAGAAACAATAACAAGCTTGATAATTGGTGGGATTGAAATTATAACCTTTGATTTTTGTGTCTTTGATGGGATGGAGAGGAGTTGTATGGCTATAATGTGTGTTACTTTTAGTTAAGGTAAGGTAAATCTGATGGTAAAAAAATTCTAGTTGACATTTATTAGATAGGTTGGGATATGTAAGAAATAAGAATAACATGTTGTTAGAATTATGTTTGTTTGTGCTATGAATGTGAAGTTCAAGTGTTCAACCATGTAGACTTGCAAAATCAATGGAATTGAAGTTGTCGAAAATCACTAATATCATATGCCCTCTGAAATTAGCCTAGTTTTGAAAGTGACTTTAGAGCTCCTACTATGTATTTCAGTTATTTACTCTACTCTGTTTTTTGTTGTGTGAACTAATAAGAGTTTTTGTATATTATTCTACGTGAATTTGGCAGCGCTACGTGCGGTTTTAAAATATTTTATAACAAATTTATTCAAATATTTCTAATAAAATTTTACTTTATTTGACAATATTTATTATAAAAATTGTATTTTGTTTCTACAAATTTACAAAACGTTATTTCCTTTGATTTCTATTTTTACATAATCTTTGTAACTTTTATTTTATCTTTTAAATATTTGATTATATTATTATCTCTTATGCACTTATTATTTGCCTTTATCCTTATAAAAATTTTCGAGTATATATATATTTTTGTACTTTTTCCTATTTTAGAAGGTTATGAATATTACACCTTGCAAATGTAGAAAGGATGAATGTCACACCCTGCAAAAATGATAAAGTATAATTTTTTAAAGTTTTTATAATATAAACAAAAAGAACAAATAAACACTTTCTTAATTGTATCAAATAAGTTTCAGATTTATTTAATTTTATATAGTTGCTTGTTTAATTATTAATTTTCTCAGTTTTATACACTCTAAGACAATTTCTACTACAATCTATTTGATCCTAATAGTTCATTTTCGATAAGTTTCAAAAATAGTGGCATAGATTAATTTTTAATAACGTAAAATGAGTTATGGCCATATATTTTTTTCGATACTTTTTATTGTTTCAATACACAAATAAATACAAGCAAATAAGAAACTTGGCAAATGTTTTCGTAAGCAGTTTCAAAATAGAATTCACTGGTCCACCATGATAGTCATACATCTCTCATATTATTTTCTCACTATTTGTATCGTATAAAAATAATAATTAAAAAAGAAGATGAACATGAAAGCACTTACTGATCTGCAAAAGAAAAATCCCACATGAATGAAGCTAATCTTGCTTAATTAATAAATCTTCTCTCTTTATATATGTTGTCGCCGGTAACATTATATTTTCATATAATCTGCGGTGAAAAAGTAAATAGACAATTGGAAGAAAAAAATTATTTATGATGAATCGATTATATGAATAATTACAATCAATAATGAAAAACTAATATATAACTTTGTGTTCTTGGTAACATTACATATTTATGTGATCGTGATTTGCAAAATTTAAATGACAATAACTATTTTTTTATTCATGAAGAACAAATTATTACGTAATTACAATTTATCAATCTTATCAACAATGAAAAATCACTATATATATTTTTTAGAACACCAACCAAAAGCATGATTAAACAACTACTTGTTCATGTTTCGACTCCTCTGAGAAATCAATAAAGAGAAAAAAAAATGTATAACCTGCAAACAATTAAAATACATTGCTTAAGATAAATAAAATATGAATACAAAAATAAAATATTCCAATGCCAAATAGAGAGAATAAAGGAAGAGATACAAAATGAAAAAATAAGAGTAAGGAGAAAGTAGTTCCAAAAGGAAAATAAAGGAATTGTGTCAGAATTCTGAAATATTGCATTATTATGTAGTAGAATTATGAAATGAATGTTGCATTATCTTTTTCATTAAAGGATTGCAATTAAGTGAATGTATTTTTTAAAAGAAATTTGGTAACTACTTTTTCCATAATCAAGCACACTAATTATGGATAAGTAAATGTTGATTATGGAAAATCAAATGAGAGTTAAAACATGGTATAAAAGATGCAATTTAAAATGGGCAAAATTGATAGCCTTTTGGGATTCTTTATTTTTAGGAAGTTATAATTGACCATTAGTTAATGCAATTTAAAACGGGCAAAATTGATAGCCTTTTGGGATTCTTTATTTTTAGGAAGTTATAATTGACCATTAATTAACAATTAATAATTAATAACTAATAGTTAATAATATAATTGTGTAAAAAATAGGGAAATAGGGAAAATTGCCTAAATTCTAAGAAAAATAGAAAAATGTCTTTTCTAATCATTGAGACATGCCATATCAGCGGAATGAAGATCTAACTTTATATAGATATATAGATTTTTCTAAGTTGGGTTCACTCCATGTTTCTTGTTAGCCAAAAAAATCCCGCCAAGTATATACAAAACATGATGCCTAAGTTTTCTTTCTATTCATTCCTTGAAATTAGAATCATGTATAGTCTCATCTCACGTATTATTCCCCCCATATATGTTATGTAATATATTATTCAAATTGGTTTTATTATCAATTTTCTTAAATTTAAGGTTGCATTTCTCTTTAGCTTTAAGATTATCGATTATTTATCTTATATATACTCTTTGTGTTTTAGATTTATGGAGATTGGATCTAGTGAGTCTCAAAGTGAATGTAATTTGTCCATAAAACTTGGACTGGAATTCGATTGGGATGAGCATGCATATGATTACTATAATGAATACTCTAGTGCAATTGGTTTTAGCATAAGGAAAGAATATGCTAACAAAAACAAAGCCCAAGGGTATGTTAATTCAAGAAAGTTTACATGTTATAAAGAAGGGTATAGAAACAAAATCAAACAAGATATGGTGGTTCAAAAACATAGGCAGGAAACTAGAACGGGGTGCTTAGCTCATAATATTATTAATCGTCAATCAAATGAAATGTTTCACATCACTTCATTTGAAGAAAAACATAATCATCCTCTTGTTTCTCCTTCTTTGGCTCATTTGTTACCCTCACAAAGAAAGATAAAAGTTGCTCAAGCATATGAAATTGACTTATTAGATGATTCAGGAATACGTCCTAAAGCTTCATTTGATTATGCTGCTCGTCAAGTTGGAGGAGAATCTTTTCTAGGTTACACAAAGAGAGATCAAAAGAATTATCTTCGGGATAAAAGAAAAGAAAGCTTGAAACATGGAGTGGCTCGTAGTTTGGTAGACTATTTTGAGAAAAGAATACTTGAAGATCTTGCTTTTCGGTATTCTTTACAATTAGATGATGATGGTTTGATAACTAATGTATTCTGGGCCGATGGAAAGATGATAAGAGATTATAAGATTTATGGAGATATTGTTTCCTTTGATACAACATAGAGAACAAATAAAGAGTATCGACCTTTGGCATTGTTTGTTGGTTTGAATAATCATAGGGAAATGGTTATATTTGGTGCAGCCCTTTTATATGAAGAATCATTTGAATGGCTTTTTAATATATTCTTTAGGATTATGTCTGCAGATAAACCATAAACATTTTTTACTGATCAAGATTCTGCTATCTCATTAGTAATGCCACAGACGTATCATCGCCTTAATTTGTGTATGGCACTTGAAAAAGAATGCGTTTAAACATCTTAGTCATATTTTTAGAGATAATGCATCATTTCCAAAAAAAAATAGCAAATTGCTTTATGATTATGAGTATGAAGAGGATTTCTTAAGTGCATGGCAGGAAATGCTTGACAAATATGATCTTGCGGATAACAGCTGGCTGAAAACCACATTTGCTATAAGAGAGAAATGGTCCATGACATACGGAAGAAATACATTCTCAGCAGGTATGCGAAGCACACAATTGAGTGAGAGTTTTAATGGATCTTTAAGAGGATATTTGAAATCAGATTTGGATATTGTTCAATTTTTTAAGCATTTTGAAAGATCAATCGATGATAAGCGCACCAATGAGAATAAGTCTAATTTTGACATGACTCAAAGAATACCTATTTTGAAGGTTATACTTCCTTTATTGATTCATTAAGAACTTCGTTGCCACTAGTAAATTAGACCATCCCCCCTAGGGAAGTATACACCCCAACGATATTTGACATGTTCCAAAGTGAATGGGAAAGGTCATTACTGATTTCAGTAAATGACTCATATAATGAAGGAGAGTTATGTACCTATAATGTTAGCGCGCTTGGAAGTGTTAAGGAGCATGTCGTGACTGTTAAGAGATCAATAACTCAAGTTTCTTGCAGCTGTAAATTGATTGAATTTTTGGGTATACTATGTAGGCATCCTTTAAAGATCCTGGACACATTGAATATAAAGGATAGGATTCCCATACAATATATACTAAAGAGGTGGACAAAAGATGTTACAAATATAAACGAGATGGATGCCATTCTAGAAGAAAAAGACATTGATCCAAAAGTTGAAGTTACTGCAAGGTATAGGCATTTATGCCATACTTTTGTCCAAATTTCAAGTTCAGCTTCAGAATCCAAAGAAGGGTATGAATTGGTTGTAAATGGTGTGAATGAGATGATTGCGAAGCTAAAAGATATAAAGAAGAGAAAGGAATCACCTGATAAGTCAGCTCCAAGCAATACAACTCAAAATGAGCCCAGTGAAATACTTAGTATTTATTGACAATACAAATTTTACAAAGGTGACTGGATTACAAAGAAAGGACTTCATTGCCAAAATCTCTTCAATGCCAAACTGATCAGTAGTTAGATCACCTTCCACATTTTCAAGTCCCTTATACACCTTTATTAGATACATCAAACGCTATGGTATCACACGACATCTCATTTATTTCTTGTTTATTATAATAATGTGAAACTTATGTTATGTTTTAAATTATAGGACGTGACGGAAGGAAGCTTTCGTCCATTGTGTCCTTCTCAGTTGTCTCAAGGATATTCATCTAATGAAAGTTTGACTCAACTCTTAAGAGTTAGTGAACAGAACTTTTAATACTTTGCATATATTTCTAATAAGTGATGTTATTCACCACATAATATATTAATTGCAGGATGTTTCATTTCCTGATTTTAACAAGTATTCTCAACATTGATTGCGGCACCTTCATCAAAGCAGAGGTTACATGGTGATGGTGATGGTGATTTAAGTGATCATAATCATGATCTCAAAGTTGAGATGTATACTTCTTTGGCATTGTTATTTTCTTTCATAGATTTTATTCCAGTGTGCAATTGACGGTCGCATTTGTGAATTAAGTTTTTTCTTTCCATTTTTTGGCGTCAAGGCCATAACCCACTCGTGGTTGTTGAAATTTGTTTTCCCAACAGTTATTTATTTATTTTGGAACAATCTTGTTGCAGTTTATTGTCATCATATTGACAGTTGATAATTTAATTGAGGTCTGGTTATTGTTCGTTGAGGCAATAACAGAGAGTTCTTTTGGTGTATTTGGCTTGAATTTTGTGTTGCTTATTTGATTGTCAAAAGTGATTTCTTCTGGTGCATTTTGGCTTGTATTGCTTACGCCTTAAAAAGTGATAAGAGTGAAAGTAAATGGGCAGAAGCTATTTGCACTTAGTAGTTGAGAAACAATAATGGAGGAAACAATAATTTCGTGTTCTTGGTTAACTGAGAAAAACTAAGTTACTATACAGTTTTTCATCTCGTATTAACGAACACCTATATAATAATGAAAGAAATCTCTTACTCTCTTTTAACCGTCTGATAGCGAGAAACAAGAACAATAATATTATTTAGCTTTAGAAATTTCTTGTGGCCATTGTAATACACTTTAATTTTGTTAAGAAGTTGAATGTATAGAGAAATTTGGGAAGAGTCATTAAATAATATGAAAATAATGGAGTTTTTAGTTTGAAAGAAATTGGGTTTGTGATGGAAATTAAATGATTTTTGGAAAGAATGTGAAAAAACAAGTTGAAAAAAAAGAAAACAGAGCAGTGATTGATCAAAAAGATCCTCTCCTATATACATGTAGTTAATATGGAACAAAAAGAAATTAAAAAAGATACCGTAGCTTAACCATGGTTTAAGAGATTGTTTTGGTTAAATAATTATTGACATCATTATGTGACAAATGGCAGCAAATTAAAGGGGGACTGGACCAACTGAATGGTAAAGGCACTGGACAGGAGCCGCATCCGTACAAAATGAATACGAGACTAGGATCATTTTCGTTGGTACTTCTACAAAAACAAATGAATATGAGACTTTAGTGATCCTTAATGACAATGGTTTATTTGCTACTAAATATTTCTTGTGGGATTTGAGATCTTTTGAAAGAATGGGTAAGGAAAATAGGTTAAATGTTTATTGGGTTAGGTTTTTAGACAGGTCAGCGCATGGGTTATTTAAAAGAATTCGGGTTAATTTAAGTTAATTTGAGGATTTCCGTCAACATAGGGGCATAAATGATGAAATTAATAACGGCAAGGGTAAGAATAACTTCATTTTAACTGTAAGGGCATAGTCAACTAATAAATCAAAGTTGAGGGGTATTTTTGACCATTTTCCCGAAATTAAAATTCAATATTATTTGTCCTAAAAATTCATTGTATAATACATTAAGGACCATATAGATCATGTGGAATATGTTAAGGATCAAAATAAAGTAATCCCTATACATTAAGGATCATTTTGATCATTTTCTCGATGAAATCCCAACTTGCAAAGAGCAAAAAGTCTACCGCCGAAACTTCGGTGAACCTCAACACAATTACCTTATATTTTTTCTATCCAGATACGGGAAATTTCACATTGCGGATAAAACGGTCTCTAATAAAGGTGATTTCTTATTCAAGAGATATTTAATTAAGAGTGAATGAGTACTTACCCGTCCATCACAATTTTGATTGTTTCAACACAGTTAACTCGTGAATATGAAGATGCTCGGCCCCATTTTAGTACGTACCAGTTAGTCAATCAATTGGCCAAATTGTTAATGTCGGAAACGACTTATTAGTTAGTAAAAGAAAAAGGAAATATGCATCGAAGCAAAGTCGTCCAAAGGAAACAACGTCGCCAAGTTATTGTATTGTATCATATAGTTGAATTAAAATATCTATAAATATGCAACTACGTACGTAACTCTCCAATATATCTCTATTATATTGCACAACAAAATTACTAGAGAAAAAGAAACACAATGGGAAGACTGAACAATGCGGCAGCTCAAGGTTTGTCTAACTTTTAACCATGATAGCTTGTTAGATTTAACTAAACATTTTCACTTGATGAGTGAGAGTTTGAAATTGAGTTAGACTCAAAGTACATCTTTTATCAAAATTTAATATTTGCATATATTTGGTAGATTTTTAAACATATACACGAAGTTTGAGCCAAAATCAGTGACCCTTTCTATCGTGCATCTTCCCTGGTTGACAAACGAATTAAATAGGTGCCTTTGAACTTGGGCGTGGAATAATAAGATTGAGTTCACAACTTGCCTATGCTTTAAGCCTTAGTTTTTTCCATTGTTAACGACGCTTATCGCAACAGTGTTCCAAACACGATTTGTGCGAAACAACTAACAGTAGGACTAATATGGACTAGCCCTATAACACAAGGATTAAAAGTGCAGTTTTTTTGCCATATCATAATTAAGAAGGGACGAAGCTAGAGTACTTCGGTTATATTTTTTATCAATACGTAACTTTAATTCAAACTCTGTATTATTTGTTCTAAAAATTCATTGCATGTGTGCAAATAATTGATTTAGAATCTAATATAATTTAATAAGATTAGAATCCAAAACTACAACCTACAAATTCACGCTTCGAAAAATCACGATACCAAAAAGGTTAAAAGAATTAAGGGATAAGAATCAACTTGAAAAGCTCGAAAAAGGGCCGTATCCTATGGAGTATGATATAGACAACCTATTCTAATGTAAGCATTAGAATCAAGCATACATATATGACTCTTCGTGTGGGGAGCATTACGATAATCAAACTAAAATGAATTTAAAAGTATTAGTCAACGCTAGGATAATGAATGATGAAAATGCCAACTTGCAAAAAGCAAAAAGTCTAACAGTGGACTTTTACCGTAACATCCATGAACCTCAATACAGTTGACTTCCCAAAGTTATCAATTTGCCGAATTTGGTGGATCTAATTTTACAGTTTAATCACAGAGACGACCACCTATATAGATATATATAATCCAATCGCCACACGATTAAATTTGGATTCACATTGGAAAATCTCATATTTGGGGCAAAAATTTCTCAAACATTAAAGGTAATTCTATTTGTAGGGCTCGAATCCAAGACCTAAACATTTAGACGCTGTCAAATTATAGGAAGATGCCCGCCATTATTTTATAGTAGCCATTCGATAAGAGCGCCAAGTAAGTCAATATGCTTACAGATATACTTTTGAATAGCAACTGGCCAAATTGTTGCTATTAATAAAGGGGAAGAAAACATGAATGCAAAGTGGACGAAGGAGACAATGTGGCCATGTTAAC